TCCCCCCTTATCACTAACAGACAATCTTATTGTTTTCGAGTTTATTAATTCTCTAATTTCTCGCTTGCCACATTTTTGTGTGGCTGTAAGGTTAGAAATAAACTTTCTATCGCGGTAGTGATCAAGGGTCTTGAGAACGCCGTCCGAAAACGCGCGGAATTTTATGTCAACTCCATCGTTAGGGTCCTGCTGTCTAAAGTCTTCAACATCACGTTTCACCAAAGGGAAAGCAGGGAAGGCATTTAGTATGCTTTAAGCAAAGTTTTTTTGTCCACATGCAATTCACAGCAGCGATGAAAACTCAAGGTTATGACCAATTGTAAAAAAGCAGTGCGGCTACAGCGCTGATTTGTTCCAACAAAGGTACTTCACCATGAAATGTTATAGGTGTACTTAGAATAGTCCATATACCTCACTTTAAAGCTTCACCAGTGTTCCCAGACTCTAGCACTTCTTCACAGAAGTTAGATTTTTATTTTCAGAAAAAGTAGTTTAAGAAGGATGCTTGACGGTGCTATGCCATTATCCTGTTACGTGCAAATTAGTGTAGGAAATCTCTACCGTGCTATCATAAGCCAAAGCGGAAAATTGCTCTCCAGAGACGGTTTTTTCTTTGTTATTACCTTGCAAAGTTGTGAGGGTCACAAGTCCACTAAGCGAAAATGTGCATGGCACAGATAACTAAAACTAGCACAGACTCCGACACACATGCCGACTTAAACACACACACACACACACACACACACACATGCACATACACATACACATACACACATGCACATACCAACACACCGAAACGCCAACACACAGACAACTAGACACATGTCATCTTTTCGAGATCAAGGAGAGAATAGGAAAACGTTGCTCAGATTGTAACATTATCCACAGATGCCATGCGATCAAGTCTGCAATGCTCTTCTCGTGATGATGTCCAAAATAGAACGTTCCGGACGGATCTTGGCTGATCATGAAGTGCTTGACACCGTTTTCTGTTCAACGTGAGAGTGCCAGCACGATCACACCTGAACGAAAACAGTCAGTACCATCTCGGTCAAACGGTTAGGTGACGGCAGAGTGTCATCCATGCTTCGCACAAACTTGATTCATCATCATAGTGCTCTAAGCTATGGCTGAGGTCGCAATCAACCGAATCGGAGTGAAGTAGATGGAAAAATTTATTCTATCATGTATAATCTGTTAACCACTCGTCGAGTCAAGTCGACACTAATAAAGATTTGTACCGATCGCATGGAATGATTACCTGGAAGGATCCGCTCACTCAAGAAGCACAAAGGCGAAAAATTTTCTATGTGCTGCCCTTTTCATGTCCCTTATTATTTAGTATTTATGACAGAACAGTGCGCATGAAGTCAGAGTTCCACCATTGGAAAATGTGAAAGGCCGGTTGCTTTAGGAATTATTCGTTTGAAGGCTAGCTAACTGTGCACACCAAGACTCACGATAGCAGGTGTTCTTCCGAATCGTCGTTTTGGACAAAATTCACACTAGAGCTATGTAAAAGCGCACATGTCTACACATATACTAGAGGTATTGGTGAACTGAGCGTAGTGAAGATCCGCCGTAAGTCCCCAATAGACCACAAGAGGAAGGGTTGTGCATTTCGTGCCTAACCGACTTACGATTTGATGGAATGAAGCGCTAGAATAAGTGACAAAATCACATGGACATGATAATAGAAGGTACGACAAATTTATGAATTTAGTCAGACAAGGCAGCTTTTTTCTGCGACATGAAGCTCTTTGTATTTACCAAAGGGTTTCCTAACAGCTTTCGAGAAATTACTGGTGACCTATTGGGTCACCCCACACTTTCCAGCAAATCAATACCCATATTTTTATGTTCTTCTTGTCATTCGCCTTTAATCTTCGGATGATTATGTATATATTAGCACTTAAGCACTTAAAGTATGCGTTCAGTGTGAAATAAGAGACATTGTGAAGCGGTGTAGTGGGAAAGATATGAATCGATTTGCTGGGGAGGGGGTGTACGACGGCAATGTTGCTTCCAGTTCCCATTCTTACCTGGTGAGTGTTCTGTATTTCTTAACAAAAAATCGCCTTCTTTTTTGAGTAACGGCTCTGCTTCCATTCTGCAACAATCGAAGCTCAATGATCAGACCTCACAGAGTACAGTTCTGATCAAAAACCCGAGGCAATCAGAACATTAGTGCTGAAGATCAAGAATGTTCTCTGTACTTCCTAAACCAGATAACATGAAGGATAACAAGAAGGATAAGGCTCTCGGCGTTGATAAATCTCTGTGGGCTGCACCATGCATTCGACTTCATTATCTTTGGAGGTGATTGAATGCATATCTCGCCTTTACAATAACTCGCGGTGGGCTACCGATGTATCGAGCCAGCGCTGCTATTCTTCCAGACAAGTCTCGTACCAATTTACCGACCCTGGAGGGATGGAAGGCTTGGTGGTCCATGGGCGCGGGGGTCGATTCCACGTGGGTGTTGCGGGGCGCCTTCAACCACTGCGCCACACGCGCGACTAAATAACATGAAGATAATGTGAAATCTGGATCAATTTGCTTAGAAAATTATAGTAGTTAAGATGATGAGCGATATATGAATTCACAGCAAAAAGTATTCATCTACCGTGGTATGAGACCATGGTAACACACTGCTCCTCAAACGTCGTCCGTTATCGAAGCAACATTGTCACTTTGCTGTGATGTCTGCAACTTTTCCGACTCATCAGCGTTGGAACTTGAACGAATAAACGAACTCGAGACGAACATACCCCTTCGCTAACGATTCATTTATTTTGATGTTGTCTTTATCCTTCTTTGTTTTAGCCATCGAAGAAATTAGACGCACCTCACAGATCGGTATTTATATAGTTCAGTTTGATTGAAAACAACTTGTAATCAGTCTTCCAATAAACTTCTTTTTAAGGAAACTTACGAGAACAGCAAGCAAACTACTGAAATGTTATCAAGCCCTAATCTCTTCTTTTTTTAAACTCTGAATGGCGATTTATTCAATTGACTGCAGTGCGTAAAGGGTATTGGCGGGTTCGATCCCCACCACAGACACCTGTGCTTTGGCGTTTTGCAAATATCTCAGTATCATTCTGGTTACATTTCACACATTACACTGCCGTGAAAAACTGTAGTAGGAAGTAAACAAGGAGCTAATATAAATACGATATTCCGAAAACTTTCCATGAAATACCACACGTTATTCGGACGCGTGTAGCGCAGTGATTAGTGGTGCTGTGATAGGAATGTGATCCTTAGTTCGATCTCACACCATGAATTTACCAAGCCTTTTGTGACCCAGGGTGGCAAACTGGTACCGAACTTGTCTGGGAGGAGAGCTGCACTGACTTGACACATTGATGGGTCACCACAAGTCAATGTATAGGCCAAATATGCATTCAATTGCCTCTAACGATGCTTAATGAACTCAGATGAGTGGCGCGTCCTTTAAAGAGCGATCTGCGCCGAACACTTTACACTTTTACTACAAGTTGTGAAAATAAAGAAAACAATTAACCACTTTTGATAATATTGTAACGATTCATTTAGCACAACACTTCATGATGAACATTAAGAATTTAACGAGATCACACAACGGAAATTCGTTCGTTTCTGTTACTTTTTCACGAACTGTTTTCCTCTATACGAGAAAAATAAAGAAAACAATTGAAATACACCGAGACGATGAAATCAAATTCACTCCACATATTAGACCTTCAGCCTACGAGCGATCATCGGTGTGTTTCGCGCTGACGGATTCGTGATCGACGGATCAGTCCACGGTGCCGGCTTGGCGGTGGCTAGTAGACAGAACACCGCGTTCGAAAGAACGAGCACGGCCGCATGTGCCAAGTACACTAACCGCCATTCCTCCACCGAGCCAGTAGGCAGCAGATATGCTACCTGTAATAAAAAAATTGCTTTACAATTGCATTTTTGCATGACCTATCATCACATTTACTGTGCGAATTCCAGCACGTCATACATTCGAATCGTTTCACCCGCGTTCACCATCTACCTTCGACCATTTCAAGTGTTGTTTCGACTTTGCTGAAGGATCTATACTTCCTTACTAATATCGTAGAATGATGATCGAGTTGATCTTGGAGGTAGCCGAGCTAGAGTGTTTCCATGTGAATAGGGGGAGGGCGTTGGGAAAAGAGTCGAACCAGCACCATGCCTGCTGATGGACGACATCACTAACTATGGCGCTACCCCTCCCTTGTAGAAAGTTGATATATGTGTGTTAGAAATGCAGCACTTGCAAATGACGGACTGCAATCTAAACGTTTTTAAATGACAACTCCTTTGGCCCACATTGAAGCGCGAAGGATAAAGTTTCTTTCTCCAAGGAAACACATTAACACTTGGGTAACCCGTCTTTAAAAGAATCACATGAACTGCCACGACCGACTTTCTATTAACCTCGGCATTGATCAAGTAATTTTCTTCGTATTTTTGCTGAGCAAACGCGAGGTGTTATTATTCTTTGTTCACGATTAATCTGACGTTTCGGCGGATTTCGCCTTCCTCAGTGCTGCTTCCTATGAGGTTTCCACTAAGTATCAGTATTAGTATATTTCCACTAAGTTTCCACTTTTTACTTATCCCTCATGTGAGGGATCTCGAGCCGGTTAGTCGCCAGGCTACGTCGCGCGTTTCCAGGTGGCGGATAAGGGGTTAATCGCGGACCAAAAGCGACCTTTGCTTCCCTGAGACGCAGGTGGATCCAGGGGATGGACTTCCTGTTTCTGCTGCGCTGATTTGGCACATACTTTCTGTAACTCCCACGACCGACTTTCTATTAACCTCGGCATTGATCAAGTAATTTTCTTCGTATTTTTGTTGAGCAAACGCGAGGTGTTATTATTCTTCGTTCACGATTAAGCTGACGTTTCGGCGGATTTTGCCTTCCTCAGAGCCGCTTCCTATGAGGTTTCCACTAAGTAAAAAGTGGAAACTTAGTGGAAATATACTAATACTGATACCTCATAGGAAGCGGCTCTGAGGAAGGCGAAATCCGCCGAACCGTCAGCTTAATCGTGAACAAAGAATAATAACACCTCGCGTTTGCTCAACAAAAATACGAAGAGAATCATATGAGCCTAAAAACAATTTTACTTTTCTTTCTGGTATTTGATTAATATCCACTTTTCTTCCAATCCTGAAAGAGCCATGTTAGATTTTCTCATATGCTCAACTACCAACAACCTTTGAAAAGCGCAGAAAGGTTTACCATCTTGTGACCAAAGTCCTCGTAGAGCAACGATAGTATCTCGAATGGATTTACTCGACTAGACTTCCACATGGAAATAACGAATGGAGTAGGCAATCTTATAAGAGGATAACATTCTTGTTGTACATCTCAGCTCAACACGCACTAATTCGCTAATAAGAAACAGATACGTAGTAATTCAACGATTGAAGGCAAAGATCCACCCTATCCACAACTAACACTCTCACACTAGAAACTGTAAAAATTGTAGAGAAGGTCGACGTTTGCAGAAATCAATCTAGTTGAGAGCAATCTCATATCAAGAAATGTAAAAGTTAAAGAATAAAGCTCCCGGCGTTGATCAACACCTGAGGGATGCACCATGCATTCGACTTCATTAAGTATCGTTGGAGGTGATTGAACGCATATCTGGCCTTTAAAATGACTCGCTGTGGCCAACCGATGTATCGACTAAGTGTTGCCATCCTCCAAGACAAGTCTGGTACCAGTTTGTCGAGCCCGGAAGAATGGAAGGCTTCGTGGGCCATGGGTGCCGGAAACGATTCAACGTGTGTGTTGTAGGGCGCCTCCGACCACTGCACTACACGCGCCCCTATCAAGAAATGTAGCCGATCAAAAAAAGTTTTTTCAGCAGGCCTAATTTAGTCAATGATGGTGACTGTGGAAAAAATACCTACTCAGCCATTACGAACCAATTTTGCACACCATGCATCAGGCCTACGAAATTCGTGAGCAAACTAGATGTCGGTTCGTGTAGATCTTCATCTTGTTAGTACAAAACGAATCCATACGAACCATTGACGACTTTTCACGCAACTGTTCCAGCAGTAATGAAACGAGTTTTTGAAATAGCAAGTTTTGATCACAATCGAGCAAACCGTGAGCAGAAAGACTGACCGGCATATGTTAACTCAGTGACAGCCTCACTATCATTTAAAATAGAGTCTTCTAACAAAAGAGCGGTGCTATCAATTTTATGACACCTTCCATTACCTCATTTGACCATTGTTCAACCTTAACAGACGTCGAACGAGTACCAGAATCATCAACTGCCGATTTGAAAATAGTCATCATTCGTCATATTGAGTGACGGACGACAAGGTAAAATAGAGGAAAAACGATAAACCTCTCGGCGTTGATCAATCCATGAGGGATATGCCATGCATTCGACTTCACTAAGTATCGTTGGTGGTGACTGAATGCATATCTGACCTTTACAACGACTCGCGATGACCTACCAATGGATCGAGCCAGTGCTGCTATCCTCCTAGGTAAGTCTGGTACCAATTTGCCGACCCCAGAGAGATGGAAGGCTTGATGGGCCATGGGCGCGAAGATCAATTCCACGTGTATGTCACAGTGGCGACAAGGTAGTAACAGTAAAATAGGTCCAGATGTCTACATTAAGTGACGGAAACAGGAGTGACGTGAACATGAACACACGAATCACAACGAAGACGCTGTCCATTTTCAAAAGATCGTTCTTACGAGCTAGAACTGGTGTACTCAAAATCATATCGTAAGCTACAGTTTAGATCCTTAACAGACACACTATCATCAATGTCAAAAGGAAGTACAGCAGAGCTATGGGATAAGAATGCTCATCGACAGATGGACGAGAGGAACGAATGGGAAGCCAAAACGAATGCTATCGCCTTCTTGGAAGACCATCCAGAACTGAATGGGTACAAACTGCTTATCGGTAGCATTGACAGCCGTGTATTTATGCCAGATGTGTGTTATTTCTGGATAAAAAGACAGCACTTCTAGTCGCTATAATATCGAAAACGCATAACCTTATGGACAACGATAGCACAACACTATATCATACTTGTAATTATTTTCATTTTTTGCGTCACACTTTTCTCTAGGCCTAGGCTAAATGAGGAATAGGTACAATAACTCTCACTTACCAGAATCGGACAAATCAGCAAGGATAAACACCAAATAAATTGGATATTCGCCATTACAAAATGGCTGTATTGTCGTGATACCAACGTCGCACACTACAATGAAAATTGCTTGACAACATAAAAACGACGGTTATGCTTCCTTTAATACACTGGTAAAAGTGCGGGGGTTTACCAATATTTCTAAAGAAAGGTATTATAGAGACATCTTATTAACCTATTTTTTCGAATATTAAGACCCTAGTCGAGGGAAACGAAGAAGCTGCATGGCGTGGTGGTGAATGCGTAAGGCCTCAGAAAGGGTAATAGAGCGTTCGCACCCCTCCGCAGGCACCTGCGGTGAGGAGTTTTGCAAATATCTCAGCATTATTGTAGTTGCATTAATGGTTGACATGCAGGACTAAATAGCTTTGCGGATTCTATGAATAGCTGAGTGTTTGGCCGTTTGACTTTGCGACGTTAGGTAGCACTACTCATTTATAGCTCAACTTACCTTATTGAAACCTCCACCGTTAAAACCGAACATGGCCGTAGCAAGCGTGATCAGCACGATCCCAAGAACGCCATCACCTAAATTCCATCGACGTTGAATATCTACAGTATTTCATAACTGAAGGTTTCCTTACCTTGACGGACAAATGCCAACCCGCATAGGAAGATGGCACTGACTCCCAATGCAATCGAGTTGAAGAATCGGATTTTTGTCGTTTCGGAAACTCGACGAATCTGATCGCTGCTGTGACCCGCGAATACCTATGATGTAAAGTGATTAGAAATGGGCGCGTGTGAGGCAGTGGCTACAGGTGGCCTTCAACAGACACGTGGTCTTTAGTTCGATCCCTGGTCCCGGGTGACTGAGCCTTTCACTACTTCGGAGTCTGTAAATGGATACCAGAATTATCTAAGACGACTGATTTGAGGCATCTGCACGCCATTGAAAGTCATTTACGGGATAGGCATGCATTCATCGCTTCTGACAAGCCTAATGAACTCGAATGCATGGCGCATTCCTCAGGGATTAATCAACGCCAAACGCTTCACTGTCGACCGTTTTTAATTGACCACAAAATTTTTTTTTACAAAAAGCCATTAATTCTATAAAAGTCGCAAATATCTTGTTAAAATTGGATTGATGACGTTAGTGGCTTATACTAAGTTTTTGTTGTTAAAATTTTCGCTTTACATCCCACTTAGGAACGTCGAAAGAGAAGCAAATTAGTGCGCTGGGAAAATATCCTCTTCTAGTCAGGAACTCTCTCTAGTATAGATCTAGTGTGTTAAGTTTATTTACTTTGAAACTTTATAAATAAAACAGAATTGCGAAAGGAAATGTCAACTAAGCCGTTGAATTCCACTGATTTCTTCCTATTGATTGCTTTCCAAGGTATCGATTTTTGAAGCCCCTGATTCCACAATTGCGTTTTTGCTTTGAAAAATATTGCCGTGCTTCGTAAGTCTTTTCTTTCTCATGTAGTCGATTCGATGGCTTATAATTTAGCAACCTGGTCAACCTATGGATGAAAACCGTTAAGACGAAGAATTGAGCGAGATGTATAGAAAGCGCAAATTGTGAGCGATGTCTTCCAGTCTTTTATAACGAAATCCCAATTGTACGTTTCCCGTGAATGCTGCAGACAAGATAAGAAGTGACCCCTAGTGTCCAGCTACGACATACAACAGAATGATCGCGTTCGTTAAATGAACAAGGTCCGCAGAGAAGCCAAGATCCAAGATTTGGAGTAATGAAGGCCTTACTGGTAATCATTGGCTTACCCGATGATTGTTTAGATTGCAGATGGTAGATACTATTGTAACTACTACTCGACCATGTTTGTCCTCATGGTCAAATTAATATAAGGCGTAAAATGAATACTTCTACGACTATACCTTGACGAAGAACTGAAAAAGAACTGGAAGAGCGGCAGCGAATCCTGTGTGCTCTACAGAGTACTGTAGCACTTCCCGGATATAAAGTGGTGAGAATGTATGGATTAGCTAAAAAAGTAGATTTTTTGTGCAAACCTTACCAAATAACGTTTGCAATCTACGTATTTCAGAACAGTATATTTCATGTTTTCTCTCGATCTCGATGGGAATAAGAAAAAGATGGGGTACTTGCGTGTATGTCCCACGGATCTCTCTCATATGAGGGATCTCGAGCCGGCTAGTAGCGAGGTTACGTGGCGCGTCCCCGAGTGGCGGATAGAGGGTTAACCGCGATTTGCTAGGCGTATTCATGCATACATGTGTGGGTGCGTTCTTGCTTATGCGAATTGTATTCTACGAGTTGATTCGGTCAAAAGCCAGTAATCAAGTGACAGGAAAGGAAAGTATATGGGAGGCGGTTAGGAGTCGCCTCCAAAAAATAAGTTCCATGTCCACTCTGGGAGAGATCTGGCAAGCTACCTGTAAGTATACCCAGCCCCCACGCTCAGAGCCCACCAAGCTATACGTGGGTATCAAAAATGCTAAACACAGTAAAAAAAAAAACTGCCCTCATTCCCCTGACCCCGAAAAAGCCCTAATTTCGTAGAGTCGAGTAGGACGAGTACGGACAGGCTATTAAAATCTCACGAAGTCATTGGCCTGGCCGAGACGAGAAGAGAAGACGCCAGCCTTTCAACGCCGTCTATGACACCGGAGAAGAACTGTTCCTCGGAACATGCGGCAGTAGAGGAGTCGGCGGCGTCGGCGTTCTCGTCAACACGAGCTTGTCCATCAACATCGATTCATTCGAACTACTTACAACCCGAATCGGACGTTTACGATTAAAAAGATGTGGACCAATTCCGGCTTTGACAATCTTCGACGTCTACGCGCCGGCATCAAACTATGACGAAGAAGAAGTAGAAGCGTTCTATATGCAATTGGAAAAGTTCTACAGAGAAGACCACACATCTTTCAAGGTCATCACTGGAGATTTCAACGGCAAGACTGGACCAAGAAGAACGTCTGAAGAACGTCACAAAGGGACCCGCGGATTGGAATGGAACGAACAGGGTGAGCAGCAGTCTGAGTTTATCATGGCGACCAAGACAATCCATGGTAACTCGCAATTCCAGAAGCCCCATCCTCAACGCTGGACGTGGAAGTATCCCAATGGAGAGTACCATAACGAAGTAGACTATATCATAGTAAATAGAAGGTTTTGCCTAGATGTCGCTGTTGTCTCAAAATTCTACACGGGTTCAGACCATCGTCGCCTTCATGCAAGATTCTATTTCTCCCAAAAAGGAGAAAAAGCCGCTAAATTCAAAAATCGAAATCCCAGAACCACCATTAACTGGGACTTATTCAATTCATTAGTCGGCTACTAGGAAGATGCCGTTGTCGATAACATCGACGAAGAATACGATCGGCTTATTCAACATCATCACGTTAGTGCTGTGAAAACTGAGAATTCGGAAGTCACCAAGAGACGTTTGTCTCCAGAAACTTTTGAGCTGATACGCCAGCGTGGAATCGCACGAACTGTAGATAACCGCGAACTAACGTCCGAACTTGCAAAACAATGAAGACAGAGAATAAAGCCCAGTTATCCCAGAACTCTAGGAAGAACCGTTAAGAAATAAACAATAAATCGATGACATCAACTAGAACTAGTTTATGGTGTGAGTTACTGTATAAAATCACGTAGAGTTGAGTCGTAAGTTGAATTTGAAGCGATGACGACTTTGAACAAATCAACATCGGCTTACTTTGAGTAAAGTTGAAATCGGCTAAATGTCGTACTTTCATTTGATTATTGTCGTCATGAGAGATACGAACTATCTATTTACAGTGTTCTTGGTGAGCAATCATAAGGTTGTTACTTTATCCTTTATTTCCTTTATTGACGAAAAAGCTGACGTTTCCGCGGATTTCGCATTTTTAAGAGTCTGAAAGGGTCAAATTGACTGCAATCTACTCAGCAAAACACCTCCATAACCAAACACAGAGATCACCAAACTAAGACTTCCATCGCATCGAAGGAAAAATAGCTTCTTCGCACCATAGTGAACTATTCTACCAGTGCTGAAGCTAATAGATAGTCAGTTTTAGGAATTACCTATGTGCAATCCATGCGAGAATAACAGAATGACCGTAGCGCACTGGTTAGAGATGCTCTGTAATGCACATTTGGTGTTGGGTTCAATCCTACGCCCTAAGGCTATCACGCTTGTAATCTCTCCAGAGTTGGTATTAGATTTTGTGGGAATAGGAAAATCCTGATTTTATAGGTCGTATACGTTATTTTTTCACAACCAAGATATCACCATACTACAACGATATTAACATTGATGTCAAAAAAGGAGTTAGGCAAGGCGATACCATCTCGGCAAAATTATTTACCGCCATCCTCCAGAACGTCATGCGAACATTGGAATGGGATAATATGGTAGTGAAAATCGATGGCCTGCAGGTACACCATCTTCGCTTTGCTTATGACATCATCCTTATAACGTCAAGGATTAGCCAAGCTGAACGTATGCTTGACGACTTTGATAAAGCCTGTGGAAAGATTGGTCTTCGACTAAATTCCACAAAAACGATGTTCATGGAGAACGGATTGGTTTCGCATGTCCATTCACGCTTAACGGAACGAATATCTCCGAAAGCTGCAGTTACATCTATCTAGGTCGAGAAATCAATGTGATGAACGATCTAGCTCCAGAGCTGAGCAGAAGGACACGGGCGGTTTGGGGAGCTTTCAAAAGCATCAAGGCTGCAGAGAAGAGAACAAAGAACACCCGACTCCATTCCCACCTTTTCGACTCAACGGTACTTCCTGCCCTAACATATGCGTCAGAAACCTGGTGGCTACGTAAGCAGGACGAAAGATCACTCAGCGTTATCGAACGCGCAGTCGAAAGGACGATCCTAGAAGTATCCCGTTCCACACAAGTAAGGGGTGGGATCCGAACCTCTGATCTGCGTCAACGATCAAAAATCAAAGATGCCGTTCTGTACGCCAAACAGTCGAAGATAAGGTGGGCCAGACACGTAATGCGTATGAATGATAACCGATGGAGAAGAGCCGTTTGTGACTGGATTCCTCGAGATGTTAAACGCACTGCAAGAAGACCACCGACCCGATGGTCAGAGTTCTTCACGAAAAGCCTAGAAAAGAGATATGATGCTTAGCGAATCCCTAGAGAGAGCAGAACCTACTGGGCTACTCTTGCACGCGACAAGGAAAAATGGAAGATTTACTGGCGCCGGCTCGAGTCACTCGAAGATCAATGGGACTACAGGTGATACTTGCGTGTAATACAGTTCTTAGAGGTGTAATACAGCATATCATATTGATTGATTCGATCTTTGCCCGTGAATAACTAAGTACTCTTTCCCTCTGGAGCTGAAGTACTGGCGCCAGAATTGTCCAAGAGGATAAGATTAGGTAGAATAAGAATGCCATGGTACATGGACAGACCCAAGCAAGTTTTCTATAGGCGAAACATGCATTCAAACGCGTTTACGACGTCCCGAATGGAATAGAATACATGGCGCGCTTTAGAGGGTTGAATACTGAAAGAGTCACGATTCTATTCCTCTTTTTCCCATGAAAATACTGCCGCAGAAATTACTCTCGGGTTCGGTGTTTCGTTTATTAAACGGTAACTAAGTAAATGCAGAACAAGACTGTGGTGACTGGGCGAATTCTGAGTGAATTTTTGGATGAAATGCTGAGATATTTGCAAAACTCCGGACCACAGGTGTATGCAGTGGAGAACGAACACGCGCTGATGTCCTTACTGGGGAGCAGCGCACTTCACCACTACACCATCTATGCAAGACGAAGGACCCGGATGGTGTAGTGGTGAAGTGCGCTGCTCCCCAGTAAGGACATCAGCGCGTGTTCGTTCTCCACTGCATACACCTGTGGTCCGGAGTTTTGCAAATATCTCAGCATTTCATACGAGTTATATTTCGCAACATAACCTGCCATTAAGAAGAAAAAAGGCAGTAAATAAAAGAGTTAAGATTGAATTTTTGGATTTCATTATTGCTGCAGTGCAACAGAATTTTCTAGAAAGAACATACCTGCACTGCAATCAGATCTCCTAGTGCACCAATCCAAACTCCCCACACACTTGGTGTCGTCAGAATTTCCAGATACGGTATGGTGCTTTTCGAGTTTTCTATCTAAAAGCTAATACTAGCACTTTTTCACTGAAGTAGAATACAACCTTCGCAACTCCGTATTGAGGTCAAAGTGGCCTAGAAACTTCTTAAAGACTTTTCCAAGACCTGGGATGAAAATATCAATTTTTTAACCGACTTAGAGCTCCAGTACTCACAAAATCCCAAACATTAAAAAGTAGTGACCGAAATAAAACAAACGTTCCAGCTTTTAGAATTTGACAGGCGAGTCCTTACTGAGCTACTTAAAAAATCGATACTACGGGTTGCAGAAATCATGGCCATTCTTGGAAAAGCATCGATAATTTCTAAAACTCCCAAAAGCCCAAGTGTAATGATTCAACATTTTATACAAAAAGAAATTTTTTAAAAAAGCATTATTATGACTCTTTCGACGTCCTTTAGTGCTTTTAATGCTGAACGTCTTTTCCCACCTTAAGCGAAGCGGCCGACTTTCCGCTGTTGATGACGGCAAGTTCGTGTTTTGAAACAAGCGGATGATTCTCTGAACGAAAGAAACTTTTTGTTCAATTCTTTACGCAAATGGACATGGCTGACATTTTAAAACCCGTTCTTACTCCTTATGGAATAAACCTTATTGCTCCAACAAAGACAAGTAGGCCAAGGTTTTGTAAAGAAAATAATTCCATTACCACATGGCGCAGTGGTTGGAGGAGCCACTGCGACACACACGTGGAATCGATCTCAGCGCCCATGGCCTACTAAGCCTTCCATCCCTCCGGGGTCGGCAAATTGGTGCCAGACTTGTCTGGGAGGAAAGCAGCACTGGCTTGATGCATCAGTAGGTCACGGCGAGTAATTGTTAAGGCCACGTATGCATTCAATCACCTCTAAACGATGCTTAATGAAGACGAGTGCATGGCGCATCCCTCAGGGATTGATCAATGCCGACCGCTTTATCCTTTATTATTTATTTTACCACACGGTGAGCTTTCATCAGCAATTATTCAGTCCTTTGAGATTTCTTCTTCGAAAGTGAGAATATGGAATTTATGCTTAGTTTTAATGGTCCCACTGGGTTGTCAGATGTTCCTGTTGTCAAACTGCGATGTACAACTGAGTGTTCATCGCCTAAGAAGAATCCACGAAGGCGAGAAGGTGATAGAGAGTTTTCTCACTGTTTGGGAGTAAATCAGTGCGCATGGATTATTGAGGACTTGAAATGAACTTAGATGAAGGTGGTAATCCTCCAGCTGATCCATTGGGCCGATAACTGCATGTGGTGAAGAACTCAATGTGACCTGGTAGGGATTTCTGGACTTCTAGTGAGAAACTTTGTCATACAAATACGCGGAAAACACTGCGAACTTCGTGGCTACATGATTCTTCGTGTAAACAAACCACTTCAATATAGGTATGTATCAGGTATGTTTTACTGGAGACGGTTCTACTTTCAGAGGATTCAGCTTACTTTCCTTGTATACTGGCAAACTGTGTTAAAATTGGCTGGTAATCCTCCAGCTGATCCATTGGGCCGGTAACTGCATTTGGTGAAGAACTCAATGTGAATGGATAAGGGAAATTTTTCAATTTGCCAGGATATTCCACTCCAAGTGAAATTCCAACTTTAAGTAGAAGTATGAAGTGAAGAAAGGGTCGAAATTTCAAGAACTGGAGTAATTTTTGGATCAAGCAAAAGAATGCAAGAAGTGGTTCGGTAGAGTAATTGTTAATAAACAGCGATTTCTCTGGAAAACGAAAAAGCACAAGAAGACGAAAAAAAAATGTAATGATGATCTCACCAGGGTTATTGGTGTAGAGGAAGAACCACCCAACAAACGAGGTGAATGTGACGACTGCATGAACATAGAATACCGCCTCCCAGCCGAGTGATGAAGAGCACAGCTGTAAAGGAATTTAACTTATTCTCTCATAGTCCAGATTTTTTATAACGAACAAAGTTTATTCCACATTTTTGTAAGTATGAATTGGAGCCACATTGTGGTTGGTGGATATCCACTGGAATCGAACTGCTATGTAGAGCAGCAAGTGAATCACTCGGCTAGCTGTCTCTCAGATGAAAGAGACTTTGACATTGCTGTGTAGAAGCGCAAGTGTGAGTAAAACTGTGTGAGAACAGAGTTCACTGAACTTCTTTTGGCTACATTCTTATCAAAGACGGTTCTTCATGTGGATTCAGTAAGTAAAACAAACAGGGTTACATGCAAAAACAAGTGATTGTAAAAACCTCGCATTTATTACTTTAGGTTAGAAATTCAGGATGGTAGTTATCCTTGAATCTAATACATAAAAACTTTCCGTACGATTCTTTTTTTTTAATTTTAGTGCACGTTTAACCCACAAGGTTGCTGGATATCTAGAAAACAGGTAGGATTTACAAGTTGGAGGTGACTATGAATCAGCCCTCATTCAGTTATCAGTTACTCGACTAGAGGCTTTTGAAATCGAAATGAATATTATCACACTTCCTTGGAAGCTAACCGGCGCAGTAGAGACAGGATTTCCGTCCACTGCACTGAAGTGCACATCAGCGCAAGCATAAGGTCTGCTATCAGCACACTCCCTTGAGCCACCTAGATAAAAGCTATCTAATCAGCGAGTAACGCTTAAGATCGCTTTTAGGTGGAATATATGTTGAATGTGTATGAGTTACTGAAGTAATTAGAAATTAGTGACAGTTTTTGAAGATGTTCTTCAAACCAAACGTCGATTTTAACTGGTGAGATGAAATGGTGTTCAAAATATTCTGTATGATTATGCTGACACAGGGATTATATAAACTTTTACACGACAAAAGTTTCGGTGTCCTCGCCTTCCTCAGATTCACGTTTATCCGAGACGATGGTCCCAAGCTGGTCGTTATTATGATTTTGGGAGTCCACCGTCACATCGAATCGAAAGTACAGATTTCGGTTGATTAGCGAGGAAGGCGAAGGGAACGGAACGTTAACCGAATAAAAGTTCTTATATCAACTTCTTCTCAGTCTAATCATGCAAAAAGTTATTGATTTTCGTTACAGTTGTTTGATGAAAGTTGATTTTTAGGAAATGATGCCAGTTTGTAGAATAAAAAAAACTGTTGTCTAATTCATCAGATTTTTCGGTGAAAGATCTTCTCAAAGCGACATCCATTACAAAACACCTACTGGGATTTCCGTATGCTGTTTAAAAGCCGCTGAATCAATAAGCAAAGAAGTGAATAAAAAAGGATAAAGCGCTTGATGTTGAAGAACCCAATGAGACCGCACCATGCATTTGATTCCATTGGTAGATAATTGAATGTAAATTTTCTGCAAACAGGCTTATGGCTTATGAAAGCTCACCAGTGTATCAAGTCAGTACAAGCGTGACACCAATTTACGGAATCTGTAGGAATCAAGCGGTGGTTAGATTAGGACACCAAAATGAACCAAATAACACACGCGTTTTGCATGGTACGCCTAACCACTGCGCTGTACGCGTCCCACGAAAGGATACCTAAATAAGAAGAGATCTTGCTAACCTCTCCTGCCACAGGCATCGCGAACACAGCACTCAACTGCCCGAACGTGGTCAAAGCGGACATGAACAGCCCATGTTGCTTCAACGACGCCCACGACGACGTCACCGCACCCACAGTAGGCATACAAGCAGCACACGATACGCCCTCAACCAATCAATTCATTGATTATTCGAGTTCTTGAATTGATTTCTGTACATGTGTTCGGTTTCTTTGCAAGTCGTTTTAGGTCAACTAGGTTGTATTCTATTATGTAACATGTTCAGACCAAATAATAACTCGTCGTCAACCACATGCGACTATAATCAGCTGTTCTAAACTTCCTCATTGGAAGTCACGAAAAAGCGGCTCTGAAGAAGGCGATACTGCCGAAACGTCAGCTAGCGTTGTATTGTATTGTGTTTTTATGGAAGTAAATGTATGCTGTTTAAAAAACCTCGCGATTGCTGAGCAAGAAAACGACACATTCATATTCCAATGCCGAGGTTAAGAGAAAGTCGATCTTGGGAACATACATCTAAGCTCATAGTGGCATTGTGGAAATAAAAACTAAATTGAGAACTTACAGAAAAAATTCACTAAAGTCCAAACATTTGTACCGATCACGAGAAGTTTCGTTATGCTACCAAGATTAGATTCTGATTCTCTACGGCTCGGATCAATTTTTTCACTTTTCCACATCAAGGAGGCTCGTACTTGTACGTGAAGGATTTCGGAAGATTTCGCCCAAAAGGACACGATGGTCCTCACTAATGTATAGTTGATGCGTGAGTTTGTCATAGATTGAAAATGGATTTTAAAGAAATTCAATGTAAAACAGGAGCATCAATTTCTGATGTGGGATGGCGTAGTCATCAACCATATGCGACTATAATCAGCTGTTCCTCATCGGAAATCACGAAAAAAGCGGTGTTTTTCGAGAAGCTGCTGATCATGTAATTACCATAGTTTCGTCTTTTTGTAAGTGTTACTGAAACGTTTGGCCTAGTAGATTGTACATCAGTATACCCTTCGAGGGTCTGAGGAAGGCGATACTGCCGAAACGTCAGCTAGTGTTGTATTGTATTTGTTTCTCTATGGAAGTAAATGTATGCTGTTTAAAAACCTCGCGATTGCTGAACAAGAAAACGACGCATTCATATTCCAATGCCGAGGTTCATAGAAAGTCGATCCTGGGAACTAAAGCAGGAGCGCTTTTTAAAAAACTGAGTCGTCCTTTAGATCGACAGGACAAGACTTCTTTTTAAACATGTCTTTGACTCTTCACATATTTTGCGTATGCAGAAATTGCCAGTAGTTTTCGAAATCTCACCATCTCGCCCTATATTTTTTGGAAATTTTATAAAGTTATTGCTACAAAGAATTAGGAAATGGGAACCGAAAAAACATGAAAAAACTGGAAACCACAAAGTCGAAATTATTGCAACACACAACCGAGTTGCGTCTGAAGTGGTGTGCTTTTGCGTTCGTTGAGTTACAGTAATCACAAAAGTCATCTAGGACCACTAATTCTGTTTAAACAATATACAGTAAAAGTATAACAGAACAGCTTAGGTCCCCTCAAGTTACTGAAATATATGAAAATAAGAGAAGGTGTCGCTACATGTACATTCATATAATGGACAAGAGATGAAACCATCGGCGTTAGTCCATCACTCATAGATTCGACATGCATTCTAGCCCATTCAAAGCACTGTGGAGATAATCACAAACGGATACATACGACTGCATTATGAATCGTACAGATGAATGAATGCATATTTGACCCAGATAATCATTTGCAGTGCCTTAAATCAGTGTTTTTATCCTCACAAACATAGATGCAAACCAACTATGGACGGATGCATGGCTTGGTTTGTTAGGGGCTGGGATCGAACCATACGCCACCACACATTTATTGAAGAGAGTCTATAACCTCCGCGTTATACGTTTGTTCTCGAGTTATGTGAAGAAATGTATAGTTATCGAAGAAGTTGTAATTACATCGATACTCACCCAAGCAGTAAACAATTTTTTCTTATTTCTACTATTTGACTCGTCTTCACATCGACTGTGCAGATCCCACACTTCTCACATTCGATTCATTTCGTCGTATCCATCATCCACGAAGACCTCCCAACGTTTACGTGTTGCTTCAGCTGCTGCTTGTGGATTTTAATTTCATCTTGAATGTCGTAGAAATGCTGGTCGAGCAATTCTCCCTGGAGTTCTGAGATAGCCAGTCTGGAGCGTTCCCAAAAGAATTGCAGAGAGTGATGCTTTCCCAGACAAGTCCAGTACCAATTTCCTGACCCCGTAGGGATGAGAAGCTTGGTTGGGCCAACGTGGAATCGAACTAGAACCATGCTCGTGATGGCGAACATCACTACCAGTGCGCTATCTACCCCTAATGTATAATTACTACTGTTTTTATCCATTTGTATTATTTCTTCAATCACTACCGGTGACCACTAGGAAGCTAGTTTTGTCTTGAAGGAACTAAAAGCACTACCAAATGATTGAATAAGGTACCAAAGGAAAAGCGAACATAAAAACTTGACTTTTCTCTGTCCATTCTGAGAGTTATTTTTTTTAAAACCATGCTTCTCACTGAATCGCTAATGCCTTCCCAGGATAAAGAAACTGTTCACAATGAAACACAAATAGCTTGAAAGTTAATTCCATACACGACTCGCCAGCTAGTTATACTCAGTGAGGTACGGTGAAAAGCGAAGCTTTGATGAAATGAATTTCTGTATTTGTCTTTAACATGGGAAAAATTGAGAAATATTTTGAGAAAATTTAGCAAAAGTGAGTTTACATATGTGATTAGCGTTTTAAGTAATATGATTCCGATGTGTTAACATATAAAGGACGATGAGCATTGATTCCAATGCATTATCTTTCTAGTGGTTTGGCCCACAGAGTTTTTTGCTGCGATTATTGAACTCATTTAATAACTTGTCCAATACAGACATTTCTTAGAATTGTCTACATTTAAAAATTTACAAAAAACCGTTTCTCGGACGAGTTTTTCATCGAGGCTAGTGTACTTTGAAAACTGAAATTCGATAGTTGGAGATATCTCGCCAAGATAGTAGCTGACTATTACTTCACTTACATTTGCTGTAATTAATCATGGCTACGGTATAGAATGAGCGGATATAAAAAGTGCTGATATGAGCTCAACCCAGTTTGTTGAAAAGACTTGCAAATACAACCACAACGTTGCTGAGATATTTGCAAAACTCTGGACCGCAGGTGTCTATGGTGGGGAACGAACGCGCTATTATCCCTTCCGGGGAGTAACGCGTTCACCACCACACCATGCGGGTCCTTTGTTTCGCA